GATGTAATAAACATGTGGCCCTTGTATGTTTTATTCTTTTAGTACAAATTTCAAAGTGTAACTTATTCATTTTTATACGGCAGTAAGAACTTGGTCGGAATGTCCTTATTCATAAATGACTTGTTTGTATGTAAATATGTATTACGTTATTTGAATTTGATGTTTGTGGTCTCAATGCCTTTTTCATTGTTTATCATGACCTGCTTGTTCATATTTTTTTCCTCTATTGGTTATGTTGTAATAAGCATGCGGTCATGCATGTTTTTTCTAGTATAAATTTCTAAAGAGTATCTTATTCATTTCTGCTTGTTCAGATTTTCCCCTCTATTGTTTATGTTGTAATATACATGTAAATCCAGTATGTTTTTGCTTTTTTTTTAAGTATTAGATTTTTAAAATGTAACTTATTTATGTTTGTATATCAATAAAGACTTGGTCCCAATTATTCTCTTTTTCATTCGTGTATCTTATTCATTCATGTATGTTTTTACTTCTTTTTTTTTTTGTATAGGTTTCTAAAGTGCATTTTAATCATTTCTGCCCATTATGTCACTATGACTCAGGTTCATTAAATTTATTTTTTTAAAAAAATTTAATACGAAAGATCTTTTTGTTGATCTTGTGTTGCATTATAGGTGTAAATTAATTACAAAATCACAATTAATATATCAAAAGAAGTATGTTGTCACTAGGAGAGACATTGATGTAGATCTATTCGACTATGATAAGATAGTGATAGAGTACACAAATAACATTAAAATTTGTTGTTGTGAAACATATACTTGTGAAATGGTCTTCTAAAAATTTTTACTTGATTGAAGGATTTAAAGGAATTACGACACTCAAATATTTATTAAATGAGCAATTTAAGGTAGTTCATTTTTCATGCAAATGATTTTGAAGAAATTGTTTCAACAGCAAATAATATTCACCATAGTGAAGTATATTTGGTAGAATGTGAATATGACATTGATGCTGAATAAAAAGTGTCTCTAGTGATAATGACAAGTCTGATGATAAAGAAGAAAATTTTCATCAATTAAACCTCATTAAGATTCAAAAAAACTAGAAAAGTAAATTATGAACTCAATCACTACAAAGTACTTCATCCCTCCACGATTTTCAAGGAATTGAATAAGTCAAGAAAAACAGTCCATTTTGTATTTTATACAAATTTCAAACTTATAGTAGAGGAAAAAGTGACATAACAAGTCTAAGGAATAAATACATGATTGTTTGTTCATTTGTCTTTTTTATTCACAATATGGCAAGGTCCAGATTTTAAGTTAAAAAATTGAAAACACATCACAATTGCGAGGATGCATTTAAAAATTCTAATGCTTGTACAACTATTTTAGCATAATATTTCAAGAATGAAGTGCATAATAATCTTCAATACAAGGTTGAAGATATGAGACAAGACTTGAAGGATCAGCACTACTTGAAAGTTAGTTCCTTAAAGTTGAAAAGGACAAAGAGAATGACTCTTCAAAAATTACAAGAAAGTTCCTTAGATGATTACAAAAGAATTGAGGCTTATGGAAATGAGCTTAGGCTAAGCAATCTTGATAGTGATATTGTGATTAATTTATCAAAAGGAGAATTATAACAAGATAAAATAATTTTTTTTAGAATGAATAATTTGTGCCGATACACTAAAGTTGGGAAGAAAAGAAGGATTGAGACCCTTTATTGTACTAGATGAAATCTTCTTTAAAGGTCATTGCAAGGAACAACTTTTGGTGGCTATGACACAATATTGTTAGAATTTCTTCTACCCATTGGCATGAGTTGTAATTGATAAAAAGATAATTAGAACATGGAAATAGTTTCTACAACTTTTAAACAATTCATTGAATCTAAAATATGGTGAAATTGCCACTTCTATTTCTGATGTTCAGAAGGTAAATAATTTATTTTGTTTATTTGAATAATTTTTCTTCCTTCTATAATTTTTTTTACTATTTACTTATTTGACGCGTACAAGGACTAGTAGAAGCAGTCAGAAATGCTCTTGAATTTATCAGCTAACTATTCACTTTTTATTGATTATAGACACATTGAGGCCAATTGGATGAAGAGATTTAGGTCAAAAGTGATGGATAAATTGCTTTGGTAGACTGTTCAGAGTACTTATCAGGAAAATTTAAAGTACTAATTAAGTGCATTTTGTGCTTTGTCAAAAGGTATTGTCAACAATTTGCTTAGATATCCACCAGAGAGAAGTTGTTGAGCATATTTTAATATTATATGAAAAAATTAATAGTTAATTATAATTTCATAAAGTCCTCAATCTTGAATCCTGAAAGCAAGAGGCAAGCCAATGTTAAAAATGCTTAAAGATATAAGAATTAAGATAATGAACTAGTTAAAGAGAAAGAAGAGAATGCAAGTAAATGGGCTACTTATGATAGTCTTTGTGAAATTGTTCACTGCATACATGAAGACACCTTAATTATATAACGTTGATTTCAATGGTGTTCTTGAATATGTAGTGTTGGAGGCTAAAGGTAAACATCTTGATGTAGAAAAATATGCATGTAAGTCATGACAGTTGACTGGCATTCCAAGTCCATACGTCATCAAAGTTATGTTGTGCCAAAACATAGAATTAACGAATGATGAAATTAATTGTACTTGATGACATATAGAGCACATATGATGCATGTAAGAGTAAAAAATCTAGAATGTTTTGCTAGAATATGCAATCGACCCACCTTATCTTGTGAAAACTATTGAAAGACCAGAGATCAAAAGAACTAGAGAAACGAGTACAGTAATTAAAAGAACAGGAGAGTGGAATCGCTCAAGAATAGAAACTAAAATGACATGTGGTAAGTGTGGTGCATCAACTAACAATACAAGGACATGCAAGGTAAGAACCTTTATCATTTACATATCTCCATTTCTAAGTACTATGTAGATCACTTTACTCCTAAGTTCTTAGCACATAAAAAAATTATTTTAAATTTGTTAAAGAAGAACAACGGAAAACATTGCAGAAAATATAGGGGCAGAGCGGGCGATGAATTGTATGAACCAGCTTGTCGATCATGTGAATCAAATACTGTATTGATGATTCACACTGTTTTCTACCATATGTAGTTCAATTTCAGTGTTTTTACTTTATTCTTAATTTAAGAGAAGAAAAAAAAGAAGACTTTTTTTCAATGTCCAAGAATGTTTTTTCCAAGGTAGGTTTTTTTATACCTGTAATCAAATTATCATATATTATTATAAGTGGGAAGATTTAATCTTCAAAGTTGAATTACAATTTTGCCCTTATTGTTAATTAAAATATTGTAAAAACTAAATTAATTAAATATTAAGTAATAACATTTTAATTATTTTTTAGATTATGAGTTATTTATTAGCATGAAAATTAAACAATTATTAATTATATTGTATAATGAATTAGCCAAAAAAAATTATTATAAATTAAATGCAAGTTCATGTATGGATGGTAAAGAACCCAATCACAAATTAATTGAAAGTGCATGTATGGTGAAGAACCTAAGAGTTATTTGTATGACTTTTTTTTAGCATGACTTTTCAGTTTCTATATGACATTATATTTTTACTAACTTATAAATACACTTGTGAGCTTCATGAGAAGGTACTTTCTCGAAACTTTGTCATGAAGTAATCTTAGTTATTTTTTATATATCGCTTGTTTCGTTAAGATTATGAACTATGGAAATGCTGATGATTTGAAAGTTTTTTATCAGCTTCTTTATCAAGGTGTGGGGAATAATGAAAAACAAGAGATTTTTTTTATAAATTTTTTGTCACATTTCATTATTGTAGCTTTTGATTGTGCAATTTTGATATTACTCTTTCGGTTTTTTATCATTTGATATTTATTGCCATTTTTCAAGGTTGAAGTGATGTTGAATGAAAGAAAATCTACATACGCAAAATATATTATTATAGCTTATAGATTCTATTATGTATTTATTCTTTTATATTTGGTCTATTTTGTTTGCTTTTTAGATTTAATTTTTGTTGTTTGTTTTATCCTTTTCACCCCAAGTCATGGAATACTACTATACCCATGATATGATTATTTTTAGAGTCGAAAAGCTAGAAAACTCTAAAGTTATTTTTTCGTTTTGATGGTTACATATTTTGTGGTGACTAGGCGAACAAAAGATGCACACTGTATATATTTTTACATCGTATCATTTCATTCCGATCTTATTCTATAACTTCGAAAAGAAATTCTCTTGCATCTATGAATTACCTTTAATATACCATATTGTTATTCTTTAGAAATACAGTAATAACTTAAATTTATGAGTAAATATGATTGCATTTTTTGAGCGACATGCTTTAAAGGAAAAAAAGTATATTCAAGGTTTTAATATATATCTATATAACTATACTATTAGATAAATAGAATATCTTAAACTAAAATAATTAAAAACTAAATAAATCCCATCAAATTGAATGCCTACATAAATTTTAAAAACATATTTTTACTCTTAAATCAAATTCCTTCTTTTGATATTTTTCAATAAAGGTAGTGATAATAAGTATGACAGCGCCCAAAAAAATTAAGAAGACAATATTTGAACAACTTCACCAATGGACTTTTGGAATACGAAATCTATTCCTTTATTTGAAACATAGTATTTACTAATATTCATGTTATTTTTAAAAATAAATACATTTATATGGGGTACCTTCAAAGTTGGATTACGATCTTATCCCTGCAACACATTACAATTATATTAATTAAATAATTTAACTTATAATGTTTAATTACATTTCATAAAATAATTAATTTGTAATGACTTAATAAAGCCTATTCCAATTCTTGATGTTACTTTTATATATATATATATATATATATATATATATATATATATATATATATATATTTAGTTTTCAATAATTGTTAAAAAAGGGATGTTGGTTTGCTTTCCCCTATTCATGAATATATAGACTAAAGTTACCTTCCTAATGAGACATTATTTCACATGATTGAAAACTAAATTCTTACATACTTATATACAGATTAAAGTCTATCTAGCTCACTGCAGATTTGAGACAGCAATACAATGAAAAAATATTTTTGATATTTTGTCAAGAATGCATTTTGTGGTAGTTTGCCCCAGGTGACTTGGTATGTACGAACATGGCAATAACATGTTGTACAGTTAGCTATGTGAAGTGTACTACAAACTTGACTTTATTTTATTGGACGTCATTTTTTTTGTATTTTCCTCTTGACACACATATTTGCACTCAAAACAACTCACCAGCTAACATGGATCTTTGAAGTTCACTTTCTTCTTCATTGACTCTTTCAAATTAAAGTTTGTTAATTTTATTTGCTGGTAAGTGTTTCTCACTTTTTTCTTACTTAATTTTTTGCTTCAATTTTTATCTTGTGCAATTAGTGATTTTTTTAGAGAATATAATGAGATGAAGTTTACAGATGTGACCATTTTTATTTCTCGTGACCCATTTGTAGAAAGGAAAATTGGATGAAAATGACTATAAACAAAATAATACTTAGCAACCATCCAAACAAGTTGTTGATGAAGATGGAGATACTGTTGTTCAAATTTCGACATACATTCATCATCTGAATCAAATTTTGGTATTTATTCTTTTACGTAATTGTTCTCTATTGTACTTTATCTATAAAAATATAGGAACGTCAATATTATTTTCTGATTTGTTCATGCATCTTCAGAATAAATACTAAAGTTACCTTAGTGCACCAAGGGTGTTTGATAATATGCCTACATAAAAATGGATCTTTAATTGAGCACTAAAAGTGGTCAAGTTGTCAATTAATAATTAATTTTCCCTTTCACGCTTCTTAATGAACTTTTTTTGTACTGTTGAAGGGACAGAGGCAGAAAAGAGATGTTCGAATTGCGATATAGAAATACCAAGTCAAATAAATAAAAATGTCTTTTTTTTCATTTCTTCGGTGAAGGAGAAAAGGAAATAGCGGAAAAAATATATGATTGTTATTGGTGGAATGTAAACATTTTGATTCCACGTAAAGTCTAAGTTATTCATAAAATGAATTGACCCTCAACACCCTCTAATTCTATAAAGAAGCAACATTACGTGCCTCATTATGAAAAATCATTTTTTTTCATTTCATCACAGCTAAACTGGAAGGACAAAACGCATTTTCTTTCTTCCTGGATAAGAATACAAGATGGTACTTGAATGTTTCTCATTTTAACAAATGATTTAGAATAATTGAAGGATCTTCTCTAGATTTGGTAACAACATTTGATGTTCAACCTAATTAATGTGCAAAATGATAGTTAAGTTGTCTATATGCGGTCATTATCAGAGGTATTGAATTATGAATGCTCACTGAATGAAATAATGCATTTATTGCAAATGATTCACCTTTATGTTTGAGTTTTATACATGAACAATGTAAATGTATTTTTGCAGTATGAGGTTAGCAAATTTACAACCTTGTTGATAAAATGTTCTAAATACCATCACATGTAAAATTTATTTATATTACGTTGACAATGTATATAATTTATTAAACTCTTACGTTTTATTGGGTTTTCTAAAAGAGCCTGAGATGTTAATGGATTTATTATCGATTGTTGAAATATTGGAGTAAAAAGTAAGATGTTAATGGATTTTGAAATATTGGAGTAAAAAGTACTACTTTTTTGTAGAGTTGTTGATAAACGACTTACCAATTTCTTATTTGATGAATTTGTGTGAATAAATTGATTTATGTTGCGGGTAGGAGTTGCAAGTTTCTTTACTTTATTTCTGCAAGGAACTGGATGATGTTTTATGGTCGAATACCACTTAACCATAAGGAGAGAGACATCAACCACTTGACTCTAATGAGATGAATTTAACAGAAAAAGTAGTTCAAAAGAAGCCACAAATTTAAATAGAAAGAATAGTCAATGTCAATTAGAGAAAACTTTGTTGAACTCTTCCTTTCGAAACTTACCATCATATATGAATTATGTTAGTATGAATCTTTGTATTTGTCAACCTTCTGATGGAGGCATATAGTATCTCTCATATAATTTGCTAATAACTTTTGGAACTATCGAGATTGTTCTTTGAAAATGGATTATTGCAAGTTTTCTTATATAATCTATAATAGTTCTGCTCAAGATGAGGAAAGCCAGAATATTTTACATTATAATTGACTCTGCCAAATCTTAGGTTGTGGTGATCTCACCCCGTGATGATGTTGTGGATGCGGGACATTAGTTGTATTGTTGTGAGCAGGTACATAAAGATCGTCTTTATCTGTAATCTTCTTAAAAATATTGTAGATCTCATTATTTTTCTTGCTTTCCATATTAATGATGAATAACAGAAAGGAAAAGAAAATTACAAACAGTATAATCTTGCAAGAAATACCAGTGAGTTATGGTTCTATATAGAGACTCGACTACATAGCTACTTGCGTACCTTAAAGGAAAAAAATGTATCGATATTAGATGATTCAGTTCTTGAATTTATCACTTTTTAACCTACGTATATTTTTACCATTTGCAGCCACCTCCTTTTTTTATCTGGCAATTTAGCTTCCCTGCAATATCAACACCTACTATATTTTAGTAAATATTTCAAGTCTTTTCTTATACATTATCTTTTTTTCACTTGCCTTTTCAATTTATTTCAGTGCCTAATGATGATACAAACAAACCTTGCAAGCTGACTTCCTTCTTAGATTATAAGGTTTGAATAACCCACATTGTGAGAGAAAATGAAAAACATGTATCAAGTAAATTCACCCTTTTATTTATAACATTTCAGTTCTGTATTCAAAGTTTCGACATATATTTATTATTTAGACTCGGGGTTGCTAGAGTTTTCCTACTACCTTTCACTCGGGGGAGATATTACTATTTTGATGCTAAATATTGATTTTGACATCTTATTTGTTGAGCTGTAAAACTCCACAAGAGTAAAACATTTGAGATGGATGGTTAGATGGTAGTAGTTGGTGTTGTTGGGTTTGTTATGACATTATCCAAGGAAGAGACCATTATAAAGTACAGCTACAAATAGGAAGCTAATGAAAACTAAGGAAATTCAAGCACAATTGTAGAAACCGAACAAGTATGTTTGTGTCAACCATGTGTTAACTCTCACATGTATCAAATTTGAATGTCATCCCTTATATTTCGGGGTACCATGGCTTGAATAAGATTTAGGTATATATAAAAAAATTATTTCAATAATCATGTGTTTCTCTGAAATCTTATTTACACCAACATTCATGTTATCGGTTAATTATATAATAAGAGGTGATGTATGAATTAGTTTTTAATTGATGTTTGCACCTCTTAGAGTTAATTGAGCATTGTAAGTATAATTTTACCGATACTTGTATGTCATCTTCTTTTGTTGAGAAACATGTATGTGTTCTTTCAAATTCACTAATATTGATTATTTATGAAGTGAGTTTATTGATGATATAGGACTCGAGAATGTTAATAATATAGCAATATATCACCTACAAGACATTTAGTGGTCTCTCTGTCTATAATGTTTATAGACATGGAATGGTTGTATGCACTTATCATCACTTATCCAATCATGTATTTGTGTATTATGACTTAACTAATCATGTATTTGTGATATGTATCCTATTTTAAACAAAATGATCAATATTATTTAAAGGTATATGAACTTACGTTTTCGTACAGGTATATGACAATGTCATGTTCTTCCCATATAGTTAAATTGATTCGGTTGTATTGTTGCAATGAAATAAGCAATACTAAAAAAATAATAAAATTAATTTAGTTGTGTTGTTACTGTGAAATAGGACACTAAAATTAACTATGTTGGGCCCGTGCTTTAGCACGGGCCTGGGCGAATCTATCACTATCTTTATCGAAAAATACCAAAAGAAGGAATTTGATTGAAGAGTAAAAATATGTCTTTAAAATTTATGTGGGCATTCAATTTGATAGTATTTATTTAGTTTTTACTTACTTTAGTTTAAGATATTCTATTTATCTAATAGTATAGCTATATAGATACATATTAAAATCTTGAATATTCTTTTTTCCTTTAAAGCATGTAACTCAAAAAATGCAATCACATTTACTCATAAATATAAGTTATTACTGTATTTCTAAAGAATAACCATATGGTATATTAAAGGTAATTCATAGATACAAGAGAATTTGTTTTCGAAGTTATAGAATAATATCAGAATAAAATGATACGATGTAAAAATATATATAGTGTGCATCTTTTGTTCGCCTAGTCACCACAAAATATGTAACCATCAAAAAGAAAAAATAACTTAAGAGTTTTCTAGCTTTTCGACTATAAAAATAATCATATAATGGGTATAGTAGTATTCCATGACTTGAGGTGAAAAGGATAAAACAAACAAAAATTAAATCTAAAAAGAAAACAAAATAGACCAAATATAAAATAATAAATACATAATAGAATCTATAAGCTATAATAATATATTTGGTCATATGTAAATTTTCTTTCATTCAACATCACTTCAACCTTGAAAAATGACAATAGATATCAAATGATAGAAAATCGAAAGAGTAATATCAAAATTACACAATCAAAAGCTACAATAATGAAATGTGACAAAAAAAAAATTTAAAAAAATATCTTGTTTTTCATTATTCCCCACACCTTGATAAAGAAGCTGATAAAAAAACATTCAAATCATCAGCATTTCCATGGTTCATTATCTTAACGATACAAGCGATATATAAAAAATAACTAAGATTACTTCATGACAAAGTTTCAAGAAAGTACCTTCTCATGAAGCACACAAGTGTATTTATAAGTTAGTAAATATATAATGTCATAGAGAAACTCAAAAGTCACGCTAAAAAAAAGTCATACAAATAACTCTTAGGTTCTTCACCATATATACACTTTCAATTAATTTGTGATTGGGTTTTTCACCATACATGAACTTGCATTTAATTTATAATTATTTTTTTGGCTAATTCATTATACAATATAATTAATAATTGTTTAATTTTCATGCTAATAAATAACTCATAATCTAAAAAATAATTAAAATGTTATTACTTAATATTTAATTAATTAAGTTTTTAAAAATATTTTAATTAACAATAAGGGAAAAACTGTAATTCAACTTTGAAGATTAAACCTTCCCACTTATAATAATATATATTAAGGTTAATTTTATCCGTATGTCTTTAAACCATCCTTAGAAATTTAGTTATACTATTATACGGTAAACAACATCATACAAAATGAAAAAGAATGACTAAAAGGCACAACATATCATGCGTGAAACAAAGTTGATAACTTTCCTTCCCAAAATTCTAAGTTGTTAGGTGTAAACTATGTGTATAATAACTTCTCCCCTGGCCACCCTCTATCGCGCTCGAGGTAATGTTGCTAATATGATTTTTGTTTGCCACTTTTCCCTCATCAAGAGTCAATCTCACTAACTTTAGGAGGTAAATATGACAACTTTTATTCTTTTTTCCTAAAAGTAAAAGTTGAATAACTAGAAACTATACGAAAAGTATAATTAGCTACAACATTCAGATAAAGAAAATTGTAACACCTCAGATTTTTTTCGAACTAAGACTCGAATTGTTCATCGTAGTGAGTGACATTTTATCAAGGAACCATAACTTTCATAAGTATTAATGTTTTTTCACTAGATTTAACGCCAAGAGTTCCAAAAAGAACTACAATGGAAATAGCAAAAATCTGAAATTTGGAGATTTAAGTTAAGTATGAGTTTTGGGTCAACTTCAAATAAGCATTTCTCGTAGCACATGATGATTTATATGCGTTACATGATACCATATGAAATACATTTGAATTATATTTCCAAAGACTATGCGTTTTTCAAGTTTCGAATTAGGATGAGTGAGATATGACCGTTTGAAGTTAGGCTGTCCAATTAAAGAAAGTTAGCTGAAAATAGTGAGGGGTACTTTAGTCGTTTCTTTACCCAATCAGATTTAATTCATTTTTAGTCATATTTTAGAGTTATAATTCTTTTAGGTTCATTTTTTAAATCCTAATATATGCCTATGGTTTTAGTTGATTGTTCAAGTAGAGACAAGAAGAGGAAAGAAGAGAAAAGAGGAGAAAAGAGGAAAGGATGAAGACGTTCATCGACATTCTTGAATTTAGTTGCGGATTTTACAATGGATTTAATCCCTAAGAGGTATTTAAGCTTTCATCGTGTTGGGTTTGTTCATCCACACGCCAATCATGTTATTTTCAGCGCAATTCATTCTTAAAGTTGAAATATTAGAGATCTTGATAAGTATTCTTGAAGTTTCATTATGTTTTGATTTAAGATTCCACTTGGGTTAATTTTAAACGACTATATGTCTTAGAATATTAAGAGTTACATGATCCATAACCTATCCAATTAAAGGTAATTGAATTTACTTTCCAAATCTACCAATTTAACATCAATTCAATTTCTGAGTAAAAAGTTATGACTATTTTAGTAACCTGTACAATGTTGTTACGAATAAGCCGATGTGAAAACATTAAAAGGGCTTCTTTTTACATCCAAGAAAACCCTAAACAAATTTCTCGACCAATAAAAGGTTCAAAACAATTAGATTTTTATATTTACTAATGAATATCATAGTTCTTGGCCATAGAGATTTCAAGAAACTAATTCAAGAATCTCAAGAAATGTTATCCTGATCATTTACCTTCAAGCTAGGGTTTCAAGGTTTCTATTCAAGTTCTTATACAAGATTCTTCAATAACCATGTTCTTTCTATATAAATTCATTCCTAACATGTTCATAACCTTGAAAACATAATTCAAATTCAAGGTAGAGTTAGAAAGAGTTGAGTTTTTGAGAATTCTTTCAAACGCTCTAAGAAAGTCCCTTTGAGGAGTCTTCTACAACTTTTAGTAACTTGTTTCAAGACTCAAGAAAGTGAGTATAAGAGCGAAGATTATGTATTCATGAGTCAAATATATCACCTAGATCCTTCATATCATGAACCATTATTCTTGAATTCATTATTCACACTTAAGAGAGAATTAAAAGTAGAGCTCAAGAAACTCTTTAAGTTCAACTGTGAATTCTTTGAGATCCATCATTGATTTGAACTAAGTTTTGAGGAAGTAAATAAGAGAATAAGAAGAGTCATATACATGAGTTCCATCTAGTTACTTCGACCTTCGAGTTGAGTTGTTCATGCCCATAACTTCCACATGAATTCCATAAATTAGGTATCATTGAGAGGAGTAGTATCTCCAGGTTTTAAATTTTGAGTATTGAGTTCTTTATTCCTTTTGAGATTGTATTTATAATCATGGGACTATTACATGTTACCAATGAAGTCCTTGAGTTTAATTGTTCATGCCCATAATTCTGCATGAACTCTATTAGTCAGAACAATCTTGAGTTAAGAAGTACCTTTTAGTTCTCGAGTCGAGTAGTTCATGCTCATAATTGCGCATGAACCCTTCAAGTTGAAAATCATGAAATAATCCATAAACATGAGATAATGAAATTTTGAATGAGTCAAGTCTAGTAGTTAAGAGGTAAGTCAAAGTAAAGATATAAAGTTTTCTAAAGTCTTTCACAGACGTTTTCACTTTGTTTCAAAAACATAAAATCTAAGTCAAGTAAAGAGTTGAATAACTTCATTCAAAGTAATATAAGGTAACTAAGTATTCCATAAGAGTTGAGTTCATTTCTAAAAAGATACAAGGGAACTAAGTAGTCCTTAAGAGTTTATAAATATTTTCACATTTAAGTTAAGAGAAAACTATGAGTTCTAAAAGAGTTTTGAACAAGAAAAGGGAACATTGACTCTAAGAGAGCTTTTTAAAGTCAAAGTGTTGAGCAAACTATTTAAATTCAAAGAAAGGAAGTTATTTAAAAGCATGAGCTAAAGTATATATTGGGAGTAATATTGAGAATCGATGTGGGGATGAGAGTTCATATTAACTCAAGTCTCCATGTAAACCATGCAGTCATCATGGGTATTAATGGGTCATACTTTTTAGATGATCACATAAGTTAAGCTAGTGGATCGACTAGGTTAAGTAAGGTCCTATATATACCGATGGCAAGGTATAGGATGGTCCTTGATAGTGTGAGGTGATACGTTGTATCATCACTTAGGCTCACAGTGATGGTTGTCGGTTAGAGAAACTCCCACAATATTAATTACATGATTCCTCAAGGGGTTCTCTTGGTGACCAACAATGGTTCTTGAGTGTCGGCCACATCCAGGGTGTAGACTCGGGTCGTGACAAAAATGGTGAAAAAAATAAATAATACGAGTTAAAATTTAGTTGAAAGAAAAGTATTGCCTTGATTCGGCCATCACCAGAGAAATAGAAAATAAGTCCAAAGATGGACCGAAAAAGCAAGATGTCCCTAATATTTGTTGTTCGCGTTGCTGAAACGGATTGTAAGAAGGCTGAAACAAAACATAGGTTAAGAACATTGGCTTGT